TAGGTTCAACTCTCTGTTATGATGACTTCACCACGAGTGCCGATCATTAAGCAAGAGAATCTGGAAGATTTCCTTGAAGCACATTTGAAGCGTTGCCAGACGGAAATAGAGAATCTGGTGACGAATATTAAAAAGAAAGGTAGAGCCTGCTTTACCGCGGTCATGCTCAGGGGTAGACTAGCTGGCTTGGATAATGCTTGGGAGGAGGCGATGAGTCGCCACGCAGTAGTCATCGCGTCGGTGGAAGTAGCCGACCGCGATAAGTTGGAGTACTTTCAACAGGACTACATAAACATCCTGCAGGAAGTCGTGTTCGATGCGAGGGACTTTATTAACGAGGAATTGGCGCGGTTGCAGCCACCTCAAGTGCAAGTTCCCGCTGCACCTGCGCCAGCAGTACAAGCGACGCAGGAACCTTTTGCAGCGGTTCCAGGGTATATACCTTTCCGTCTCCCAGAGACGAAGATCCCGCGGTTTAAGGGAGATTCTCGAGAATAGTTTTCGAGATCTCTTTACAGCGGTGATCATTAATCATCGGCACTTATCCGATTCGCAGAGATTGCAACAATTGCGCACGTGCCTCGATGGCGTAGCTTTGCGGTCAATCAGCAATCTGGAAATTTGCGATCGGAATTTCTAGGTAGCGTGGTACACGCTGGAACGACTCTTCGCGAAAAAGCGAGTCGTGATAAAAGCGTTGTTAACACCGCTACGAACCTTGAAGTCCATTAAATGGGACAAACTGGAGAGCATCGAGCAGGTCACCATAGGCATTCGTCAGACAGTGGAAGCACTGCAACGATGGGAATGTCCAGTAGATCAATGGGGCAATCCTGTTGGTCGATAAGGTAACCGAGAAGCTCGACGAACGACTGACCTTGGAGTGGGAAGAGTCAATACAGGATAACGATGATTATCCTGCATTCGATACACTCCTGGGTTTTCTGGATAAGAAGGCAGGGGCACTGCAATCTATCCAGGCAAAACCTCAAGGTCAGAAGGTGGAGAAACCGCACTTCAAGAAGTCTCGAGTGCGTTCTCATGCGAGCACGTTGGAGGAGGCGACTGAGGAGAATTCCTTAGCCCCGTGCTTGTTCTGCACCGAAAGGCACTCCCTGGGAAACTGTGTCCAATTTCAAAGGTTGAGTGCGAGAGAACGGTATAAATATGCCAGGATGAGTGAACACTGCATTATCTGTCTGTCGAGGCAACACGAAGCAAACTCATGTGGTAACACTGAGGGATACAAACGGTGCGGTCGACTCCACCACACGTGACTGCATTTCGGCAGTAGAGAGTCAAGCAGCAGTGTAACGTCAGCGGCGAGCTCGCGAGGGAAACCCTTTTCGAAGGGAAATGCGAAAAAGCCAAGTACCTCTGGGAAGGAGAGGAAAAACTCCAAACCGGGTGCCGCAAAAAAGACGGTATCGTCTAATTGTGGCACGATGACCGGCTCAGCGAGCAGATCGGTCCTCCTAGCAACGGCCTTGGTGCGAGAGCACGCACCGAATGGAACATCGAGAGTGGTTCGCGCGCTCCTGGATCAGGGGTCAGAAGCGTCCTTTATTTCGGCGGACGTAGCGAATGACCTACGTCTTGCACGCCGAAAAACCTCAGCGATGGTAACTGGGCTTGGGGGTGGACGGACCGCGGACATAAAACATAGTGTAGAGGTAAGACTGAGTTCAGTGATGACCAATGCACCGCTGGTAAAAGCGAGTGCATTCGTGGTTCAAAGAATTACCGACTACAAGCCGCCGATGACAAGCCTCCCTCTGAATGGAATATTCAAGGACGTAAGACTTGCAGATCCAGAGCCGGCGGCAAACGAGCAAATCGATATACTGCTAGGAGCTGAAGTATACGCGCAAGTAATAAGAGAAGGAATTCGTCGGATCGACGATCATTCTCCGATCGCGCAAAATACCGTTTTCGGTTGGGTGCTCTCCGGACCCTGTGAAGGCGCAACTTCCCAGAATACGGTAAGGACGTTACATTGTAACGTTCTAGAATCGCTGGACGAAGCGATTCGTCGATTTTGGGAGATAGAATCTGTACCGGTGAGGGTACAGAAAACAAAAGACGAAGAAGAGTGCGACGCACACTTCTCTCAAACGGTGCAGCGAACAACGGACGGTCGTTTCGTTGTTCGTCTTCCGTTTAAAAGATCGCATCCGGAATCGGAGCTGGGAGATTCGCTAAGAAGCGCTCTCTCTGCGTTAACGCGACTCCGGAAAAAACTGGATGTCGATCAGACCCTCGTAAAAGAATACGATGATTTCCTGGCGGAGTATGAGGCCTTGAAACATATGACGAGATTGAGATCAATCGAATCGTCACGGCTGTACATTCCGCACAGGGCCGTAATTCGTGAGGAAAGTGCAACCACGAAATTACGAGTGGTCTTTAATGCGACGAGTTCCACAGCGAGCGGATGCTCGCTGAATGATCTCCTTCATGTCGGGCCGAAGCTGCAACGAGACATGACCATTATTTTAACGAATTGGAGACTGTATCAATTCGTAATGGTCGCGGACATTGAGAAAATGTTCCGTCAAATTCTCGTGGCCCCGGAAGATCGTCGCTTTCAATGCATAGTATGGCGTGCACCAAAAACTGAGCGTCTCTCAGCTTTTGAATTGAACACCGTAACGTATGGTACGGTTTGTGCCCCATATTTAGCTATGCGAACACTTCTCGAACTCGTACGCGAGGACGGGAAGGAGTCTCCGCTCGCGGTGTCGGTGATCGAGAAGGACGTCTATGTCGACGACGTTTTGTTAAGAACACCTAATAAAAACCGATTGGAGTGTATTCGGAAAGAGGTGTGCCAACTGTTATCTAAAGGAGGATTCCCTTTGAGGAAATGGGCAGGGAACTCAGCGGATTTACTGAGGAACATCCCGAAAATAATCTCTCGTTATTTGAGGATTCAGAACTAAAAGTTCTTGGACTGCAGTGAGTACCATCGGGCGATTATTTTTATTTCAATCTGACGCGATTCCAACCGTCCCCTCCGACAAAGAGATCGTTGTTTTCGGAGATCGCGAAACTGTATGATCCTCTCGGTCGGCTTTCACCAGTGTTCATTCGGGCGAAAGTGCTGATGCAGTCACAGTGGCTGGAAAAAATCCACTGGGACGATAAGGTGTCGGTTGCCACTCACAGAACTTGGAATTCATTCTGTGAGAACTGGGCAAAATTGAACGAATTGCGTATTCCCCGATGGGTAGGAGTCGAAGAGGAGGTCATCTCCCTGGAGCTACACAGATTTTGCGATGCATCTTTGGCTGCGGACGCAACCGCCGTGTATCTCCGAGTGACGACGGCTAAAAACGGTGTTAAAATATCGTTGTTAATGGCCAAGTCGGAAGTCGCTCCGATTAAAACACTCACGGTCCCAGTTCTGGAAT